CTCGTAATCTGAGGGTCGCGGGTTCGAACTCCCGTCAAACCTCGCCTTTGCCTGGTCCCAAGTCAAGGAGGAGAGTTAGGCGCGGGGCTAGCAACCCGTAAAAACCAACCTGCTACAAGTAACTGCAAAAACACCTTCTGTTGGCGAGGTGTTGTTGCGGCCCTATGCTCCACTGGGAGTTTACAGGAACAATAACAAAAAAAAAGTCTTCCATGTTTAATAATATAGTAAAATACAATGTCTTAATTAGAAAATTGGAATTTTCAATCTGAACAGTACCATATCTTATGCACACGTGGGCTAAGCATTCGGATCAGATAGTTCTAAGCTTCACGTATAGCCCTCCCCAATTTTGAACTACTCACCAGAGGAGTGCAGCACTCGAATAATTCGACTGACTGTTACTTTTATAACACATATCATCACACCCTTTTATTTGTAATTATAGATTTTGATAGTTGTAACTGGTAATGAGCCAGACAGGTATTAAAACCAAAACATACGTCCAAAACCAACAAAGAAATTTTAGAGAAATTATATAAAACGTCATTGCCATTTAAGAGTGTTAAACTCGAGCACCTATTCTTTACAGATCAGAACGCTGAACAACGAACTGTCCGGAAAGTATTTATCTAAGCAAGGAAAAAATAAAGAATTTATGCCTCAGAAGAAAGATCAAGACACACGGCAGTATGTCGTGCGGCCAAAACAACCTGCAGGACATACTGTGTGTTATTAACAGAAGTGATAGTTTAGCGATATTCCACTTTCTTTAGCTCGGTCTGTGATAACCAAAACTATCACATATTTTCAGTGGATGTGCTCTACTGGATCCTTAATTCACATACCGAATTTCAAGAGAATACATTAAGAAATACACGAGATATAAAATCTTCAATTTTAATTGAATTTTTCCTTTTCTTTTGTCTTTGGACCGAAAGTACGGAAACTTTATTTGATAGAAAATATACTTAACTTTTATGGATTTTTTTTCAAATCTGGTACACTGATAAATCTTTACAATTTATAATTAGTTGTTAAATTGTGCCTAAATATAAACCACATGAGCAAAGTTATTCAACAAAAACCGCTCAAATCTGACCAAAATGTTTGCGCACGCCTACCCAAAAAGTCACTGGAGCTATCGGTCTAACATTTTTACTACAGCTTCACCTAAGAGTA